ATTTGGATCTCCAGGACAAGTGCATGATGCCCAGCGGCGACTTCAAGAAGAGGCATCTAGTTGGGCTGTGGGCAGCTGGCTGGGTCAAGGGGCAGTTACGAGCTTTTCTGTGTGTACATGCTTGCGCTCAACGCTTCAGTGGCCACACATTCTGGCGTCACGGGGCTGCGCGTTTGCTTTCGCGTTGGTGGCCTGCAGGTTCTTGGAGTACGACCCCAAAGAGGACGAGAAGCCCCTGTTCAGATAGGGATCATTCCGGGAGGCATCTCAAGTGCTGCCTTTTGGACGGCAGCAGGCTTCTCATGTCGCCCAGATTCTTGAGATGCTAGCGGCAAAGGAGCAGGCACAGCCTAAAACGGCTTTGGACTTGCAGCAATAGACTTACAGAGCACAAGTTGCAAAAGACGACATGCTGAATCCGGTACCACTGCGCTGAATTTGACAGTCAGAAGAGCGTCTCGGCAAAGTCATCTGAGCTTCTAGAATGCAAGATGGAGAAAGATACAATATGCAGATTTACATGTACATGCATGCACACGTACATAGACACACATATGTGCATACACACCGCACCTTTCATTTACATTGTTATTTACCCGCTGGTCGATCTTGGGACTGCTGGTTGCATACGGATTGCCACACTGGCTCCGTGAACCCTGTGAGCCGCCATGTTCTTGGTCCTGGGCTCCGATTGATAATCCCGAAAGTCCTGCTCAAGGGCTTTGCCGCCGCTCCCCCGCCCCCCTCGCCCCCCCCACCCCCCCAAACCAGCCGCGCTGGCGAGACTCAGAGACAAAGTCAGACAGAGCCTATCCGTTAGCAAGGGCAACAAAGGACGTGGTGAAGCACCGATGTCTTGCTTGTCCCGTATGCCAACCAATCCGCACCCCAGCAATTCCCTCCTCCCCTCCTCCTCCTCCTCCTCCTCCTCCTCTTCCCCCTCGGAGTCATCATCATCGCCATGTCAATCAGCTTTCAGTCCAGGGCTGTAGTGGGAAGCCACCTGAGCGGCGTGCGGCTGGCATTGCGCCCATGACAACATTGGCATTGGCTCACACCACCGAGGGACCTCCTGAATCAGAGCCAAGAGGTAGCTATTTCAAAGGTGAGTGCCAAGCTGCTGATAATGCTTCAGCCACCCTGGTAAATCGAGGCACCGGCCTTTCAGCTTGGCAGCAGCTTCAACACGCCCAAACGTGGTGTTCGCAGCTCGTTTCAGGGCCACAGCGCAGTCGGACGAAGCTCGCTTAGCGACACAGACTTCATCCCGCGTCTACTCTTCAACAAGTTACTTGTGACTTCAGTAGACAGAGACATGATCGCACCGTAAACCTGCGCCGCGTGCAGCCCTCCATTGGAGGAGAAGTTACCATCTGCACGCTGTACTAGCGTCCGGGATTTTCAGTCAGGTTGGCACTGCGCCTGAGTACTGTTCGCCTTTGAGGGCTTAGGCCTTTGAGACACCTTGGACATACTTCATCCCTTGCTTGCTTAGCTTCGTCGAATCGGCTCAGTGGCATGCATGGAACAAGCACTCGAAGAACGAATGCATGTGTGTTTCGACCAAATGGATTCCCAAAGTTAATTTATCTTTGCCACTTGTTATGGCAGCAGCGGGCAACTCAACAGCCTCTGCGTTTCGTAGTCCTCGTGATTGGCAAGTTGATCAGTTGCACTTGAGTCACTTGAGGCATGCCCGACCTGATCACACAGCCGAGCCAGAGTTGCTGAGATGGAAACAATGAAGCACTCCATGGAACCGTCAGCAGTTTGCGCCCTTGACTTTTGGGCAACACCCCCACTGTGACTTCCAACATCCAAAGCTTGGACCAAAGAGCAATGTCAGAGTCCCGATCTTCTTGCAGGCAAGCCGGCCACAACTGAGCCAGCTATGCAAAGAGCAGACACACACACACAGACACACACCCACGTTCACTTTAGCACACACACACACACGCACAGACACAGCAGCTGCAAACCTTCATACCCTCACACACACACACACCCAGATTCGCCATGGATGCCACAATCGTCACCGTGCCAGAGGAGCGGGTGGGAGCGAAGAGCTTGAGGGCTGCTGGGTTCATGTCGGAATCTATCGAAGGGCATGAGCCTGCCGCAGTTGGAAATTGTTGGCTCTGACCCTCTCACTTGTTTCTAACCTCCAGATCTAGGCATCCCTCTCTTGTCACTCGTGTGCGCACCTCCCCTAGCTCGCAAAAGATGGCAACGCGCCAGGAAGGCTTCGTGCCCAGTTGACCTTTGTCTCAAAATGAAAGGGTCCAGGGTCCCCCCTGTTTTTGGATGATTTAGGAAGAAAAACAGGACACCACCCCGGTTCAGAGTTTCCATTTTGGGAGCCCGGAGCCCGTTTGTCTGGCCTGGTCTGTCTGCCGCTAGGAGGGCTTCGTGCCCTTCGGGCGCCGGCGCCGGCCCGCCTCGGGCGCCGAGAGCTGGGCGCCGAAGTGGCGCCGCCTCGTGGCGGAGCGCCGGCCCAACTTCGTGGAGTTCGACCGCGTGGTGCGCGGCATGCGCCTCGGCCGCCCCGCCCGTGGGTTCGGTTCGGCCCATGTGTTTGGGCTCAGCCAAGCCGGGGTATATCTGGATGAGCTTGAAACCATGGGGGGGCGGTTTGGGGGTGCTGGACAGAATCTCAGATCTAAGAGAGGGCGGCACCAATTCGGCATGGCCGCGATCTGGGCGGCCTGCCTCTTTTGCAGACCTGGTCTTTGGGGCAAGGGAGCAGAGGGGTAGAGAGTGGTTTTCACAGCGCGCTGCAAGTTTTTGGTTTTGCTTTGGAGCCGGTTTTGAGTCGTAGACTGCTTGATTGACGCTTGTTTGCTTTAGGGATGTGTCTGCTGGGGTGATGGGTGGAGGCCTTCCGGGCAGTAGAGCGTTTTTTTGCTGCCTTGGTGCTCTGCTTTTTGCGACGCCTGGGGCAGAGACAACGGGGCATTTGCAAGTCTTGCACAGCCACAGCCACAAGATGTGCATGTGTGTTCAATCCGGGGCGGTTCTTTGCGCCTATTTGTACTCAACATACTGTTGATGGAAGATATATTGAATTTACAAGACTACACGTTTGCCACCATTCGCCCCCCGTACTTGACATTGATGAGCCGTTTCATTGGCCCTGCCAGGGTTTTGCTCGTGTAGTGTTGACTGAGTGTTGACTGTTGTGTTGACGGGGAGCTGCCAAGATTGCGGAATGCGCTGCGTACGCTGCTCGCATCCTCTCCTTTGTAATTCTGCAACACACCATTCGCAACATTACAGCTTTTACTGCGCAACGCTGGACATTTTAATGCTCAACTTGCCTGTGGCTATCGTATGCAGTGCGAACGTATGCCGTCTCACACAACCGCCTCACAGTGGTATGTGGACAAATCAGTGCTGTCAGGCAAATTGGTGTTGCTTTGAGGTATTGCTACCAACTCAGACTCAACTGTGCTCTGTTCGCGCCGTTGGATCTTGCCACCTTCCCCTCACTCTTCGAAAGAAAGCCTTGCGTGGCAACCCCTTTAGTTTTGATTCCAGTTTCGGGGGGAACACCCTCGGTCATTTTTCGGTAGTCCTTGTGGGGTTTCTGTTTCCGGCGCGTTTCTGGCGCCCAAGGCTCGCCAGGCTGCGGGTTGTGCGTGTTTGCCCAAAAAGGGGGGGGGACATGTAATTCCCCAAGTCCCCAGCTTCGACCCGTGCGGTTTGTTTTGATTCAATCACGCGGATGATTCCTCTTCACCCTCAAACATATCTCAAACCAATCAACCCATATGACCACAGGACCACATGCTGTTTTTGTGCTTGTTTTTGGGTTTTGCTGGCCAGGCTGAACCGCATCAGCACGGAGAACGCGCGCTTCTTGCTGCCGCTGGACCCCTCCCTGCGCGCCGCAGAGGCCGGGGACTGCCCCCCGTGGTGGGCGGCCCGCTGCGCCGTGTTGATGCTGAACCACTACATCCAGGCGGAGCCAACAGAGATGGGCTTTGAGCGGTTTGGATGGTTTGGATGCGACCAGAAGAACCTTGCAGGAGAGGTGATTAAACAACAAGTGAACGTGGGGATGTCTATGCCTGAGAAGGACTATTGAACAGCCGCCGAAGACCTGCACTTTGCAGGGGACATCTGGGGGTACGAGGCAATCTGAATGCCTTTGCCTTGGTGCCTGGGATGGGTTAGGGAATTCTTCAAACACTGGGTGAGTGGCATGGTTTGTCTCGGCAAGGCCTAGCCCTTTGTGGGCACCGCAAGTTTTGGTCAAGACGGCTGCGGTCATGGTCGGCATTTGTCCAGGGATCGTTTTTGTTTGGCATTGGAGTTAGACCAAAACCGCGTGAGATGTTTCAGGATATCCAATCCACTGTTTCCCATGAATGCATTTTTGAGGTTCTCCAGCACTTTTGGAGGTTCTTATTCGTCAGGGTTAGGCCAACCCCGGTGTGAGCATGTGTCAAGCCCTGTTTTGACAACCTCCGTTTGGCCGAATCCTCAGGTGATCCACACCAGCCGCTGTGCCCGCGGGCTGGCCATGCGCAGCAACGACAACGTGCTGCCCATGCGCCGAAGCGGAGATTTTCGTTTGGGCCGGGCTGGCGGGGACCCTAAGGCTCTAGGGGCAGGTTAGCGGCGCTATGGATTTGTGGCTTAGCGGCTTTGGCCGTCACCGGGCGCCATTGGCACTTCTGGGCCGTCCCAGGCTTCCAGGCAAAACGAGCTGACCCACTAGGTCCCATGCTTGCGGATTCCTTGTTTCAGGCCTGGCCCACTTACTAACATGGAGCCGAGGTGGAGGATTCCGGAAGGCCATTATACATTTCCTCTAGGAACGGACCTCCGGTGGGTTCCATGGCAATATGAGCAGATGGTCATTTCCCAGATGAGCTGTTACTTTCGTCCGGAGCAGCCGGTCCCCTCTCTGCCCCTTCAACACGGGAAACCCGCTCCAGTTTGTTGAGGCCATATCAGATTTCGCACTTCCAGCCCATTCTTCGATTGCAACCTCCCACTTTTTGCGGGGAGTCTCCATTTGTCGGGTCCTTTGAGTGCCCATTCGGCGGCCATCTGCCACGTTTCGGCCGTTCTTCGAGGTACCTGGACGCCGTGTCGCCCCTGCTGGCCCGGAGCCCGCGGTTGGTCACGGCTCTGGTGGCTTGGGTGGCCCAGCTGCTGAATTGGTACGACCTCTGCTGGCCCAAGGCCAGGCACCGACCGACGAGCTGGTGGGAAGACGGTTTAACCTTTGGGCGGCGGTGGTGGTGGTGGTGGTGGTGGTGGTGGTGGTACCCCTGGCTCTTTTTTTTTTGGGTGGGGGGTTTGAGGCCGGCTTTTGGGGAGTTGGTACTGGGGGGTTGGGGGCAAGGTTTGGCTTGAACCGCGAGCCGCGGAAACCCAACGGAAGTTGTTTAATCCAGAACCGTTCCAGCGTGTTCAAGCAAGAGGTTAGCAACCGTATTATGAGCAAGTTCCCTTATCTCCAATGTGAAACTTCCCAGATCCATGATCCAACCGCGTGAGCCAGGGTGGGGCAAGCCAAACCCTGGCCCACTTGGTGAAACCGAAATTGATTTGTTTGCACAACAGTGGGTTGAAAATGTTCAAAACATGGAGGTGCAAATCATGGTCGCAGCTGTTTGCTGGTTGTAAGAGTGTTTTTTCGTTGTTGGGCCCTGCTGGCCCTGGATCCTTTCCCCTGATTGACAGGATTGAATATCATGAGACTATGAAGTTCTGGGAACACGTCTTGTCCTGGCTACCCCTTGCTCTTTTTTTTGTGTTTTGGAGTAGCCCTACTGCCTGGCGGGTCACAGCTGGCTCAATGCTTGAGGGCTTCCGGTCATTGAAAGGGCCTAACCTTTCTGGAATTGTTGTGGAGGCTTTGAAGACCACATTTGATATCCATGCAATTTTCTGGTGTGCCTTTGTCCAAATGAGCACTTCAAGGGTTCAAAGGTTGTTCGCCAGCGCATGGTGAATGAGCACAACTGCAAGAGCAACCCAGCACCACGACCAGCGCAATTCGAAAGACTTGCTACAGATCCTGGAGAGATCCAGGTCCCAGGCCGTTGGACTCTTCCCCCCGAAGGCTTCGGACTTGCGCACCGGTCATTTGCCCCTCAGGCAAATAGGATCCGATGCTCGAGCTCGCGTCGCGAGCGAGTCGCGAGTGGCGAGTCGCGAGTGCAGGCCCGGATCCTGCTGCTGGCGCTGAGGGCCCCCAAGGACCAACCCAACCCCTTGGGCCGTCTGCCCCCTGAGCTGGTGAAGGGCCGCCGCTCGATTCGGAAAAAATCGGAGATGGGGCCGGTGCAGTTCGGTCTGGGGTCTGGGGTTAAGTTTGGGGGGCTGGGCTATGACATGAACACTCGGAGTGGATTTTGAGGGCTCCAAACCCCTGAACAACCAATACCCCAAAAGAAGGTGCTTGCGAAATAGACCTGAAGTGTGCAGCAGCGGTGGGGGGTGGACCAATCAAAATCCGGGTAGTTGAAAGTTAAAGTTAGTAGGGAACAATCTCGGCCAGAAATGGGGTGCGGAGACCTTGGGTCGACCCCTTTGCTAGCAGGTGTTGGTTGTAGCACAATTAGAGTAGGTTTTGCAGCGAGGAACCAAAAGCAACCAGTATCTGTTGCAACATGGACCCCAAGTGTCCAGCACACGGGTGGAGGGTGGCGTGGGTATTTTTGTTTTAGGCTCTAAGACACGTGCCGGATGGATGACACGTGCTGGATGGATGACACGTGCTGGATGGATGACACGTGCTGGATGGATGGTCGGATAGGGCCTCTGTTTGATTTGCGAGGTGCCGCGCAGCTGATGTGGAACGAAGTTTGTAGCATGTCCCAGACCAATATCCTCACACCCTGCCGCCCTGCTGGCATTGAAGGCTTCCATTGAGGTGGAATTGGATGGTGCTTTTTTGAAAACTGGCCCTGGGCACTGGTCGACGTGGGCGCCGATCCGACTACAAGGCTCACTTCACAGCAGCAGACAAAGCAAACATTACCCCAATGGGCGCTAAATGACGCTTCATGGCGCTAATTGAGTCAAATCGCGCTAACTGACGCTAAACGATGCTAATTGGGCTAATTTGACGCCGAATTCACCTCAAATCGCTCAAATTGACGCTCTTTTGCGTTAAAGCTCCCAGAAAAGTTCCCCTGATCAGGGTTGAGGTGCCTGTGACCGGTACTGATCGAGCTGGAGTTTTTGGAACGGCGGCCCCACAGAAGATGTCAAGAGATGGAGTGCAAGCTGGTGCATGTGTTTTTTTCAGGATTGGTCGAAAGAAAGGGAGTTCCAAACGAAAGCCACTATTTCCTCGTGTTTAGACATACCCAGAAATGATTTGTCGGAGTCAAGTTTGCATGGGCCATTTGGAGGGAGCTTGGTCTGACCACCAATTCATCACGGTTGTCTTGTGGGCAGGGAGTACGATCATCTCTAAGCATTTTGACTTTGTCAGATGTGCCATGTTCAATGGATGGTCATGGAACCCTCACTTGGAACTTGGACACGGTTTATAGGGATTATTGTAAGGGGGCGATCACGATGACCACATCTTGAGAGTTTTGGCCATGACTCCGGTGTGGGTATGCGTGAACATCAGGGAGACCATCATCTCGTTTTGATCCCCCTTTCAAGCTGAAAGGGATGCCAACTCCAAAAATGCTCCAATGCCCACACACACACACACACACACACACACACACACACACACACACACACACACACACACACACACACACACACACACACACACACACACACACACACACACACACACACACACACACACACACACACACACACACACACACACACACACACACACACACACACACACACACACACACACACACACACACACACACACACACACACACACACACACACACACACACACACACACACACACACCACACACACACACACACCACACACACACACACACCACACACACACACACACACACACACACACACACACACACACACACACACACACACACACACACACACACACACACACACACACACACACACACACACACAACAACACACACACACACACACACACACACACACACACACACACACACACACACCACAACACACACACACACACACACACACACACACACACACACACACACACACACACACACACACACACACACACACACACACACACACACACACACAACAAACACACACACACACACACACACACACACACACACACACACACACACACACACACACACACACACACACACACACACACACACACACACACACACACACACACACACACACACACACACACAACACCCATGTCAGTTCCCGGGCCTGAGGAATCCTGGCCTTCTTGATGCCGCCGCTGCTACCGGTGTCCGCCGCGGCGCAGGACGTTGGGGTGCCGTCGGCACTCTGCAACTGCTGGAGCGACCCCGACGGGAAGAAGGATGTTGCGGCTCGACACTGACTGGCTGGTGGTTGGGAATTGGAAGGGAGCCAAGTAGCTGCAAGGAGTTCCATAAGAACATGGTTGACGGGAACCAACAAATCTCTTTAGGCCAGTTCGCTGGCATTGCACAAATCCCCAAGCCCAAGCATGCCAAGCACATGCCGAATGGAGCGCTCAGGTGGCGGTCCTGGCGCATCTGCTGCTCTTCACCCCGGCGGCGGCCTTCCCGCAGCTCTCCGCCTGCGCCTTGGCCATGGCGGAGGCGGCGCTGCAGGGCCCCGCCTGCGAGGAGAAGGCGAGGGGGTCGGGTACCCGGGGGAGGGGGTGGGTGGGTGGGTGGGTGGGGTGTGACTGGACCTGGTTTGAAAATGGGACACTGAATTGAGGAGGTTGATACAAGGCGCGAAACATGAGGGTGCTTTGATTACTCCAGGTGGGCATGGGTGGCAATGAGGATGTGTTAGCAGCGCAAGTGTAGTCAAGCAATTAGTTGGGACATGTGGGTTGGACATAGGTGACTGGGTGGATGGAAGCGATGGCTGGGTAAATCTATAAGTGCGTCCGAGACTGTGGGGCTGGACTAAGCCATTTGACCATCGGACAACTCGATAAGAGGGAACGCCAATGGCATTCACAAAGATCTGGTCTGGGCAGGGAGCTCAAAGAGAGGAACTCTAGCTTGGGAGTTTCCGCGATATTTAGTGGATCGCTCGCGTGTCGTAGGCAGGATTCGAGGCAAGGGCAGTGATGCTGGCGGTGGTCGAAGCTTTCTGTCACTTGCTTTGTCTGCCCTCCGTCCGCCTTGTCCCTCTGAAAGTAGGTTACCACTCATTTTTTGAGTTTTTGAAGGGTGGTAGCGTTCTTGCCTTTTCCATGTGAAGAATGACAATTCCTATATAAATTTAGAATCCACCCACACATGCAAAGCGTCCCGAAATCAACGACTCCACATCTTCTTTCACCCGGCCCCGGCTTTCTTTCTCTTGGGGCCAGGTGTATTTGGCCGCGGCGGTGGTGGTGTCCATCTCCCAGCGCCTCCAGAAGTCCCTCTGCGGCCCTCTGCGGCGCTGTGAGGCCTGGGCCAAGGAGCCCCCGGTGTCGGGTGGGGAGGCCCCGCAAAACGGGGAAGTGGGCAGTGGGCATAGGTGTCCTTTTTGATGGTTTTGGCAAAAAATAGATGGTACACATCTACCAGGGCCATCTATTTCCCCCAAAAGGACACCTATGGCAGTGGGAGATTCTGAGGACCTGGGGTTGTTTTCGGTTTCCTCCCAGAAAGTGCCAGCTGGCGCACTTCGATAAAGACCTCGAACAGCCGATTGCGGCGCAACCCACCTCGGTGCATTCAAACAAATCGACCCGTCAGGAGGAAGACGCGCCGCCCACGCAGCTAGCCGTGAGCCACCTGCGCCAAGACTTGCAGTGTGTGCTGCACCTGGAGAGGACTCTGCCCCTTGACTTTTTCTTCATTTTCCGGACCCCCTTCCGCCCAGTACACTCCAACCCGTAGTTGGGCCATAGGGCCGGATGCTAAGAACGAGGCGCCCTGTACGAGCAACTGACCAGATTTCTGGCAGTCTATTGCCAGTTTGAGGTACTCAAATTTTCCAGGAAAACCGGTGAGGAGGTGAGGTGGCATGGGGGGCTTTTTGCTCACCTTCTCACAAAACCAGGGGTAGTCACTCACAGGGGACCAGTAGCCCGCTCCAAAGCGACGCAGGGGTACTCACACATTTTCCCACATGCATGGCGCATATTTTGACCGTGGAGCATTTGGGAGATTCTCCGTGTGTTGCTTCTTGGGTTGATCTGAAAACGCTGTCAAGAACCAACGGCCAGAAGATTCCCATGCCCCCCCCCCTGCGGCTCTGAAACCATTTTGTAATCGGTTTGGTTTTGATTGCGACTTCCTCCGAAACGCTGAGCGAGATTTCAGAGGTAAGCAAATTTACAAGTCACTGTGTCGACACAATTGCAAGACATCATGTCTCCCACATTTGGCCTCAGGATCGTGGCTGCCGACAGCGCCCGTACTGCCGGGAAGCTGTCTTTCTTCGTGGACTCTCGTGTGATGGCAGCTTCTGAGCATGTGCGCCGCGTAGAGGAGCAGTGGCAATCCTTCGAAAGGTGAAGCGTCGGCAGAGCCACGGTGCCCTCATGCCCTCTTTCCATGGGAAGACAGGGAGGTTCCAAAGGAAAGTCTTCCCACGCCTTCCTGTCAGCTTCCATGATAGGGAGCTCATCTTCAGAGTCTCTCAGGCCTTGTCACTAGGCTGGCGAGGTTTGATTTGGCGCGCTGCATGCTCCTTTTTGTTTTTCTTTTTATTTATTGTTTCTTCTTCTTCCTTCTTCTTCTTTCTTCTTCTTTTGCTTCTGCTTCTCCTTGTTTTTCGGGTTTTGCCTTGGGCGTGAGTGGCTCCAGCATTTGTACCGGGGCTCCCGGGAGACGGTGGACTTATGATTGGTCCGCGTGTCAACCGGGTGAGAGCGTGGTCACTGCGGCGAGCCTGTGTTGCGTTTGCAGCTTTCGATGCACCTGGCGACGTTTCACGCGCCTTGGGCCTGCCCTTCCCTGACTCTACTATTTGGTGCCTGCATTCTGGCACCTTGTATAGCAAAAGGGCAGGCGAGTCCGCAATTTGTGATCAATCAGGAGCCAAACATCACCTGCCAAACAAGCTTTGAATGTGCAGCTGGATGCAGAGTTTCGTTCATGGGCTTGAAATTGATCATTGCTGCAGAACGCGCTTGAGTGAGACTTTGAACATGCTTCTCAAGCAGCCGTGTTCCAACCCTCTGTCGGAATGCCTACCCTCTAGACGGTCTGCCATACAATTTCTTCATTTCTCCAACATGTCCACAACTAGAATTCACGGATCCCCAAGTGAGCTCGTTTAACCCCCGGATGGGTGAGCTCGCAGCAAAAGCCGGCAGCATTTTCGAGCTTGGCGACATGGCTTCTGGATGGAGCCCGAGCGGGAGCTCAGCAGCTTGGCATCAAGTCCGAGAAGAGCTGATCGGTCGTGCAAAGGGAACACTCCAGGCCAATTGAGCAGCACCCAACACCGCTGCTGACAATTTTGGAAGGTGGTTCTACTGCCTTGTGTTCTGCAGGTTGTAGTAAGTTGACCATGGCAATGAATTTCAATGATTGGACCCCCTTGCAACACAGTTGGTGGGTGTAAATCCTTATGTACATGATGTCCACCAGGTCCGCGAATCAAACTCATACGCGCAGTGTTGCGAGGCCGTTTCCGCAAGGTCCACTCCAAGGATTTCACCATCTGAATGCTACACACGCAGAGACCATGTCGTCTGGTTTGCCATTGACAGCATTTTCTGGTGGGGCAATAGCTTGGTGAAACAACCCCGCTGATACTGCCACCACAAGATACGCAACAGCTTCCTCTGCTTGCCTGCGCTTGTTCATAGCTTGTTTGGCACCATGGAAGTCCAATTCATGAGTCCAAGCTATGTTTGTCGTGTTTCTGCAGTATAAACGGTCATGCTGGTTTGGGTGCTGCGACCAGAATTGGCGCACCTTAAATCAAATGGTAAACTACTTCAATACCAGCTCGCATATGCATATTTCCCGCTCATGATACAAGTCCCAGGCAGATTTCACCATCCTTGTTGTGAGGGTCTGGTGAATATCGCAATGCCCCACGCAAAGAGGTGGTTTCCAGGGTGAATCGGTTCCAGGAGTCGGAGGTGTCCCTAATAGTGTCATACCCAAACTGGGGTTGCAACTTGCAATCCGTTTGTTTCCAGGTTGTTGGTTTCTATTGGCTTCTCCCTGGAGTAAAAGGATCAGACGTATCCAAACACGGGCTCCCTACAAGGCCTGCAAGGTAGGCCCCGGTGATCATTTTTTGTGAAGCCCCAACCCCCCTCTCCCTTGCCCACAGTCCTGGAACCTGCCTGCAAAGGGGAAGGTAAGGGGGCCTTTCGTGCACGGGATGTTTGGTTCTGAGTGATTCAACCTTCATTTTTGTACCTACTCCCCCCTTCTGGCTGATTTAAAGGGGACACCCAAGCGAAAACCACCATGCTGGGTCCCAGTCTTTTTTGACGCATATCCCCAGATTCCCATGGTCAACTCCAAAAAGGGTTCCCTTCTTCTAGCAGGGTTACTGGTTACAACTGGGAACAGACGCGTCTTTGCGGTGGGTCGAGGGCGCTGCACCTCTGCCTGCAGCGCGTGCGGGCGCCGGAGCCGCTGGACAGAGGCACTGTGGCTGCTGTGGCAGCTGCCGTCCAGGAACCTCCGAGCCAATGCCTTTCGGCGAATTGATGAGTCGCAAGCTGTTTGGAGCCAGACTTTTGGGAGTTTTTGGATTTGGCTTTTGAGTTTGTGGCATTCGGATTCTGAGCTTGATGTAAAGAATGATTCTTGGCAGGGATTCTGCAACCAGTGGGCTTTGGGCTTAGCAGAGTTTAGGCAGGTGTTGCCTTAGGGTCAACAGTATTCAAGGTTTCAGGTTTGAACCTGCGTAGCACCTGGTGCCTTATGTAAACGTATTCCTTGCAGACTCTGTGGGACCGAGCCTGGCCTTTTTTACGGCTCCACGGGGGGGAAAGAGCTCATCCCCTCAATCGATGCGTGATTTTCGGCCTCAGTGAACAACAGGCCCGCATATTGTCCTCAACGAAAATGGGTCAGCGGAAAATGTGTCAGCAGACAGAAAGTCTGCTTGAAGCTTGTTGCGCTTCCTCTGTTCACCAACAATTTTCCGCGCAGAGAGCTGGGGGTGGGGAGATGGGGGCAAGCTTCCTCCAAGCCTTTAACAGAAGAACTCACGGGTAGAGTTGTGCCGATCGGGTCTTTGGAGCCACCTTGGTTGTGGGGGCCATCGGCCGGGGTGTAATTTTTCAAAATCAGTTTCTAGGGCATGCAACCTGCAGGGTTTCCACACCGATTCTTCATTGGAGAGCAAGGCCCAAAGGGAGTGGCTGCTTTCCGTTGGTGGAAGGGCAACAAAGTCCGTTTCGGCTGCTGCGCCGTCGCCGCTTGGAGGTCATCACCTGCAACGCGGCGCTGGATGCCTGCGAGAAGGCGACCAGGTGGCAGCATGGCGCTGAGATGCTGGCGGCCATGCAGGCGCGGTGAGAGCCGCGGGCTTTGGCGAAGGGTCCAACTCTTTGGTTTCCAGTGCAACGGATGCGCTCGGCAGTTGTTTGTTTTGGCTGCCCTCCTCAACCTGGTCAAGCTTCATAGATGAAACTCAACACATCTTTGGCACGGCTTGACTTTGTCATATTGCCACAACCAAGCCACTCCAGAGGTCCTAGATTCTGGAAGCAGGAGAGGCTGAGGGGATAATTATGCAACGAGTCACAGACAGCAGAATGCAGCAGGATGAGCATGCCAAGCAAGGGACCTTCATCATGGGTGGAATTGCTCATTTGGGTCCCCCTCCCCCCCGCCCCCGAATCGGTGAAATCGCTGAACTACTTCGCCCGCTTGCGAATCACCTCCGCCAGGGGAGGCAGCTGCAGGAGAACGTGGTGTCCCATAGCTCGGTCATCTCCGCCTGCGGCTTGGCATCAATTGAGGTTGTGGTGTCGTTTTCCAGTCCTTCTTTTTTCTCCTTCAAAGCCATGTTTGCCTGGACAAAAACTTGTTCGTCCGGTCCCTCCACACCCTCTCAAGACCGGCAGCCCGCAAATTAGTCCACGAGAGATTCCAACGATTCGTGGGTAAATAATATCACCCTCAAAGGTTCCTTTTCAGGAGTCTTCCTCATTTCCAGTTTGTGAGTTGCTCCCAGATGAAGATGCAACCCCAACCCCATCCGTTTTCAGAGGAGTCTCCTTTTGGAGAAGCCCCTTTTTGGGTTCAAGGAAGTAGTATGCCCAGAGGGCTTTGGCGAGCTGAGGTGCTAAGGGCCAGTGGCCTCAGGCCTGCAGCGCCCTGCTGCGGGCGGTTTCTCGGCGGAGTCAGGGGTCGAGCTTGCCTCAGAATGGACCCCGAAAGAGTTAGCTTCCTTTAGGAATTTTGCAAAACAACCAACAGAAGAAGTTTACCCTCAACAAACACCCACACCCACATGGAGGGTGGGGTGGGGTGGGGGTGCCGGAGCATCATGTTGCTCCACCTCTCCGTTGCGCTCATGTCAACATTGACAGGTGCGACTCGTGGTGGCCCTGTCGACTGGAAGCAGACGCAATTGTTGACTAGCATGGTTTTGCAGGGCACAGATTGACAGAACAAGCTTAGTTGCACGATTTCAACTCCCGGTCATGAAACGGCGTTCCTTCCAACAATTTCAACGCAAAATGCATCGATGTTTGGAGTGATGTCAGCTTGTACAGCTTGCCCAACCTGAGAGAGACAAAGTTGAAGTTTGGCATCTTTGTTCCATCAACATACCTCCGCACGGGCGCCATTGCTCAGGCTGACTGGAACATCTACACCTTCAATAGCGTGCCCCAGTTGCAGCTTCTGCTTCTCCTTGTTTCTTTTTGAAAGCAGACCCAACACAAGGTTGGATTTTCTCTGGCGTCTTCTGCAAACGGCCTCAACAAGGGATGCCAATCTGGGCTGCGCTATGTACAGACTTCCGTCAGGTGGCCAATGGTTTTGCACAAGCCGGGCGCTGGCACGCTGCAGGCCTGCTGCGCCCTGGCTGAGAAGTCAGGAATCACAAAGCTGCCAGTTGGTGAGGAAGCATGTCATTGGCCGCGAAAAGGGTGCAGACTTGAATGAAATGAAATATCATGGTGAGCCTCAGCTCCCAATTTTTTGTTTCCTTATGCAGCTGACGTGTGGACCTCAAGACCAGAGAAGCAAACTGCAAAACGGCCTTTGACAGCACAGCGACTGGGAAAAGCAGTTGGAGCGTGGTATCTGTCTCACAATTTCCAAAGACGAAGGCACTGGGCCCCAGTATGCAGTTTCAAAAGCCACCAAAGCACCGGAGCCTCTGCAGACCTGCGAGCTGAGGTTGTCGATGCTTCGAGCTTACAGCGCAGAGCCGGACATCGTCACATACAACGCGGCCATCAGCGCGTGCGAGGAGTCACTTCGGTCACGTTTGGGGGTTCTGATTGAAGGTTGAGATTTTCTGCCAACCAACTAGTCAAGGGGTACGAGCCCCCTTTTCAGGTCCTGTTAATGAGACCTGTCATTTTTGGGTTGAAACAATCCCAAACTGGCTGATTGCAGTCTTTGCCGTTGCTTCTCTCGTGCAGTTGACGCTTCAACAAAAAAAAACACTGGGTCCAGTAAAGTGGTTGCATTTTCAGGGGTTTTCAAAGTTATTCAGCCTTGTAAAATTGAGGATGTCGCTTGAATGGACCCACGCTTAGCGAAACCTTTCAGCCATCAGAAAACAATCAGCCAGCTTTTGGGTTTGGACCGAGCAGCTTTATTTTGACATCTGTTTGTTTCATTCCTTGTCATGTTCCTGCATATTCACCTGTTTCGACGCGATTCCAGCCTCAAGCGGGTGGTTGCAAAGTCGCTTCTAATCTGGTTCTCCATTTCCAAGAAAAGGACAGGGTGTTTGGTGGTTCGCAAGCGAGTGACACGGTATATCAAATCCCAACCTTTTTTTCTGACAACCATAAGGGTTTACCCCAAGGAAGCCCTGACCATCTGACTTATGAGTCATGACACTGGCCGTCTACGGTTGACATGGGAATTTCGTTCCGCACAACCGAAAAGTTCCCTCCAAACAGAAACCGGGGCCACCGACGCCGACATGCATCCCTCGCAGGACGAGGGCGCCTGGCGCGAGGCGCTGCAGCACCTCGCCGTGCTGCGCCTTCGGCGCCTGCGGTGGGGCGCGCGCTCCAAAAACGCGGCCCTGGCCGCGGCGGAGCGCCTCATTTTGGGCTGGTGGGTTTCGGTTGGGGTGGGGAAACAAGGTTCGGAGCTTTGTCTTCGGCCTCCTTTTTGTTCAGCTATTTGGAGATCTTGTGTTTTTTGGGATTGCTATTTTTTTCTTCTTTTTTAATACATTCTTTTTTAATGCACATCCGAGCTATGTTGGCACACAGGGTTCTCTTGCGAAAGGTACTGGCTTGATCGAGGATTCATACTTTTCTTCAACCGGCATTTCGTTCCTTGAAACAATCGAGCAAGCGTATTTCAAGGCACAGGCTTGTACAAAATGCGCTGGGACGGACGTGTTTCGGAGTGTAATGTCGGATAGCGAACAATGAAAGGGGAGGTAGTTCAACAAGTTTTCTCAAGATTCCCCCCCCCCCCCTCGGTGAAAAGCATAAGGGGAGCATTCAGAACAATATGGCTGCCCGTCCGGGGGTGATAAGCAAACATGATACGAAACCCTGCAATACCAAGCTATGTAAGAAACTAATAAGCTGTGATCCGGGCGGGAGGTCTTGGGGGACATGAAAAGAAACATGCTGAATTTGGTCGACTCAGCTGAGACGCTTCCATTATCGGGAGCCATTTCTTTTCACCTCTTGTCAAAGGGACACCACCATTGTTCGGAAGGGGATGGTCTCACTCCGTTTGGCCGAGGAAGGGTCTGCAGTGGCAGTGGGCTTTGCTTCTCCTTGAAGACCTTCAGATTCAGAATGTTGCAGAGCCTGGGCGACATTTAGTGCAGTCAGCTGGCCCCACAAAGCCTGAAAAGGAACGGCTCTGGGGTTGCACTGTGCCACACTCGAGCGTTTCCGGGCTCGTTGCTTCACGCGCGAGTGCAAAACACGTGTTGTCCTGGTCAACAAACAAACATGAATGCCCGGCTGATTCACCATGAAATGCTAGCGTGCCCTTGTAGATCCCTTTGAGCAACAGTGAGCAAGGGATACATTTTCCTTCTCAGCAACAACTTTGAGATCGAAGTGTCTATCCAAAGTTCCACAGTAGCTCTCACATATTTGCAGGTCCCATTTGACAAACATCCACGTTTGCACTTTTGAAGCTGCACTCTGCTCTCTCAATGTCGTCCCACACAAATTCTGATTTGTGGCTTGGATTGCCATCACCATGTGGAAGACAAACCATGATAGTGGTGGGACCGTCCGCTCTGCCAGTCCACATGGTTTTGTGTCAAACTGGTGAAGCCTCGACACTGGGTGGTTTATTTGTTGGTTCCCTTGAACACAACTCCCAATAACGGGCACGTAGAAACACACGTGCCCACATCTCTCACTTCGTTTGACGTTTCGGTTATCTCGCTGGGCCTAACAAGTCTCTGGCTACATTTGGCCACCAAAAATCACCTTTTCCAGCTTAGAGGATCCTCTTGTAGCGCTAAGAAAGCAGCCGCTCCTGGGCTGAAGCCAATCCAAGACATGAACCCTCCTTGAGATCTCTCTCCCCTAAGGACATTGTCAGCTACAGTTCCAGCTGCAGTGCCCTTGCGCGCTGCGGGAGGTGGCAGCTGGCGCTCGGCATCTTAAGGCAGCTGGAGGAGCGAAACGACGTGCCGAAGGCTGCCAGTTGCGCCCCTTGTGCCCGGGTCGTTTGGAGCATCCCTTTGAAAGTCAGCTACCTCTGGATGGGGCGATACTGGAAGCCGAAGCACTTGAGCTGCTGCCAGTTGAGCAGTTGTTTTTTTGGCTGTTCGCAAGATGGCGTTGAAGATCTAGCGTCAACCTCGGGGGAATACTGAGAAAACCGCCGGACATGTTGCTCTACGCAAGGTTTCTCTAAACCCGGTATGAGGCTGGGCATTCGGGGGCCAACATCCCGTCTAAAATGACTGCGTAGGAATCGGACATCCAGTGCGATGTGATGACTTGCAATGCGGCGATCAGTGCTTGCGAGAAGGGAGGCCGGTGGCAGCATGCGGTGTCCCTCCTTTCCCAGCTGCAGGACAGACTGCCTCTGCCGTTGACGGTGCTGCGATGCCCGTGTCACTTGCCTGCCCTTTGGCATGGAAAGAAAGCGTCTTCCCAGCGCGAGGATCGCAAGTTGCGGGCCACGTTGGTCTCCTACAACGCGGCGACTCGGCCTCACAAAAGGCAATGCAGTTCTGCTTGAAGAATTCCAAACCATGTTTCAATGCAAAGAGCTGGGCGAGGCGAGTCACTGTTAATGTCCCTCCCCAAAACAAAGCTGGAATTTATGCAAGAGGACCAAGCGCCCCTTCACAGGATTGAGAGGAAGCACCCACCAACCAACACATTTCCTTTCATACCAATGCCATCGGGGAGGAGGTGTAAGCTTCATGCAGCAAAGAATGTCGCTATGGAATACTGTGCCCACTGTTGCCGCGCAAACGCACACACACACACACAACACTTGAACAGACCAGCAAAGACGAGCACCGAGTGTCAGAGGCCATCAGCGCCTGCGAAAAGCGAAAGCAGCTGCACGTGGCGCTGCGTCTCCTCTCTGCTCTTCAGGCCCAACTGCATAGTTGACGCTACTTCAGGCTGCCAGGTAGACCGTAATTTCCCTTTTGTGAGCAAGCCCCCTTTTTTGGGGGAACTCAAGCTTTGGGTTTGCAGAACAAACGGGTTCAGGAGGCCTAAGCTGGGTTGTTCAAATCAATCCCGAATCCTGCCGCAGTTCCCCTTTTGTGGATTAGAATCGGGGATCCCCGTTTTGAACCACGCCTGAAGGCCTCAGGTGGGGTAAATGGCTGGCACGTCCTGGGAAGGACTCGCGGCTCACGCCTGACGTGGTGAGCTACAGCGCAGTGATTAGTGCCTGTGAGAAGGCGAGGACTTGACTGCGGGTGCACAGACATGAATCCAACGAGAGAAGTAAATTCAACGGGAAAAAGGGGTGTTGTATTATACCGCTATGAAGGAGGTTTCTGCTGCGGATGTCATGGCCATATTGTTGAGCATGTAGAAATCTTTTGTGAGGGGTCAACAACAAATCCGACTGGTTGATGAATTCTTGATCACTGGGTTCAGTTGGCGGGCGCTGGTTTCGTATGACATGAGGCAGGGCAGTGGCAGCAAGCCCTGGCGCTTTTCGAGGAGATGCACCAGCCGGGCGCCACAGGACGGTGCGTCTCATCACAGGACCCCTGAAATGCGCAACTTTCGCTAGGTGCCACGTGGTCAAGACTTCAGCCGTGCGTTTTCGTGAGTGGCTTTACGGAAAATCCCAGTGTCCGAAGCTGGACGTTCGCATGGCGTGGTCTCAGTGTGGCCTTGTTATGTCCGCACACTTCCGGGGGCAGCTTGCCAACAGTCTGGGGCGTTTGTGACAGCAGGCAATATGATCCCACCACTTGTTGCAGGAAAGCACTGGACAAGAACATCAAATGGAAGCACGAATCAGTTAAGGCACCTCAAAAGGGACCTGACAAGAGGGTTGCGCGCCCTTTGATTCGCTATGCCCCACTGGCAATCCCAAGCCGCTCTCTCACGTTGCCCTAGGCGAAGTGTGGCCCCCAACGTGGTGGCGTTCAGCGCAGCCATCAGCGCCTGCGAAGCCCGGGGGCAGTGGTCACAGGCGCTGCTCCTGCTGCGGCAGCTCCAAGGACGGAGCCGTGAGCCGTGGTTGGGCTTCCCTGCCAAAATGAGGGGGGGAGGGGGTTGTAGTCACTTGCTCAGGGCAGCAGGGGAATGTCCCATTGAGATTCCCCTTTTAAGGTGCCCCAAATGAGTCTTGGAGGCAGGTAGTCTTTTGCAGCTCGCACAGATGGCACTTTTTTCTGGGATGCCCCACAGGAGCCTGAAGCTCGTCATGGGGATGTGTGAGAATGGGGGAAGTTGTAAGTGGTTTTTTTTTGATGGGAGGTTGCAATCAGTCACGGCAAAGCCACGTGCTTGGAGTGACTTTGTCGGGTCCCGAGTCTGACATTCCAAAGCATGACGCCAGCAAGTCAGGCTTACCTGAGCCAGGCGAGAGCTCCATGAACATTGAACCGCCCACTGGGATCTCAAAGGCTTGCGCTCGTTTTTGGCCTTCCGAAGTTGCTAGTGAGGTTCACGCATCGTCCGTGAGGCGCGCGGGTGCTGAGCGTGATCGCCTTCAGCAGCGCCATCAGCGCCTGTCAGAAGGGCGAGGAGTGGCAGAGGGCGCTGCAGCTGCTGAAGGAGATGCACCACGAGAAGCTGCGCCGCGGCCATTTTTCTTTATGGGCGCCAGCAATGCTTGCCGCTGGAAGATGGTATGCCAGCATGCTTTTCCGGCTTGAGTTGGCGCGCCTGGGAAGGTGTGATACTTTGAGGGCCCGAATGATTGGAATGGGGTTGTGGAGTACTTTAAAGCCAAGTTTAGTCGTGATCCTAGGACACGAGCCTATTGATTGTTTTTTTTGTTTTGTTTTTTTTCTTATTTTTTTTTCTGCTCTGTACTTATTCAGCTCCAGATCTTTGGGGTTTGTGCACTCGGTTCCAGGCAGCCGAACATCGTCGCCTTCAATGCGGCCATCAGCGCCTGCGAGACGTGCCGCCAGTGGCAGCAGGTTCTGCTGCTCATGGAGGAGCTCAGCGCCACGGCCGGGCGGAGCAGCCAAGCCCTCCCCCCCCCCCCCCGCCAACACAAGTCTGGGAAAGGTTCCAAGGGGGTTCGGGTTCAGAAGGGTTCTGAGAACCCTTCTGGTGGACCAAAAATTCCCTCCCACCAACATGCAGTCGTTGTCCAAAAGGAGCCTTTACGCTTTCATGTTTGTTGGTGGGAAGGTAATCTTTCGGCTAGCAAATGTTTTCATTCGGGGTGAGGCAAAGGTATCAGCGAATTCTTGTCGCCCTCAAGTCGCCTGTCCTTAAGTTTGGACTAGGGTGCGATGGTGCCAGGTTCACAGGAGGGTTGAGGCACCGCAGTTTGCTTCCCATTTCTAAGTCCACCAAGGTGCCACCTCCATTCCTGGAACCACTGTCACGCGCCATGGCAAGAATGGACCTGAAGCATGGTGATGAATCTGGCTTTACGCTTTGTCAAGAAGCATTCTACTGCCAAAAGGTGGCCGTAGAGCTGCGTAGATGTTCATTCGAGGACTGGGACGATAGCTGTGGAAAACTGGGTTTTCGGCTTTGTGTTGCCATTGTCTGTGGTAAGGGAACCCCCTTCAATCCTTTGACAAAATCGGCATTTCGCACATGAGCGCCCAGTTTCATGAGGGTTATAGTAAGGCCTCTATCAATCTTTACAACCAGCAGAAGCGAAATGGATTTGCGCTGCTCACATGTCCTCCACTTCCACCCGCCCAAGGTACACCTCGGCCTTGAGCGCCCTGGTGGGCGCCGGCTGGAGCCATGGCCTGCGGCTGCTGGAGAAGTTCCGCAACCAACGTGTGGAAGGCCGAACCAAACACCCAGGTGTTGACGACCCAGCTTTCCAGCCAGCCCCCCCCACGCAAACTGTAAATTCGTGTTTGAACCGCATGATTTGCGCACCTTGCACAAACAGCAGCTTCTGTTTGCTTCCCTTGGCCCTCTTAGTGTCATAGCCCCGGCGCCACACAGCTATGAATCAAATAACGGTTACAAGTTACACCGAATCAAAGAGCAACAAAAACATCAGGGCCATGGCGCTTTTGGATTCGCTGTAGGATGGTTCGGGTATATACCTTGTTTTCTCCTGAGTGGTTTGGGGGAAATGACGGGGGGTAGTGGAAACCATCGATCCGCAGGCAACGTGCTGACCTGCGAAGCCGCCTGCCGCCTGGTGGCGCAGCGAAGAGACGCACGGCAGCTGCTGCCGTTGCTGGGCCAGATGCAGCGGAAGGGCCTGGCCTCTATGACCTGACAGTAGTTGGGCAACATGGCCGTAGCTCCAAAATCGGGCACCTTCCAAACCCCAGTTTGTGGAAACAACCACATCTCCGGTCCTCCAGGTGCTTGATTTCAACCGTCTCAAAAGGAGTTTGTTTGAGCACTGCGACTTAAACATGTCTAAGCACAGGATTGGTCCAAGCTTGCCTGACACCCTCGAAGTCTCGTTGGCTTGGCGGCTTTGGCCTGGATGTTTTGGTCCGTGACGTGTCTGACCTGCCTGCTTCCATGATGTGGTGTGTTGTGGAATGCCAGCAACGAGTCGCAGCGCATGATACGCGTGCGATCGCCGACGCTCGTAGCCTCTTAATGAGACTCGGCCCACCATTGTGAGGCAATGAGAGTCCTCAAAGGAAATCAACATCTGTTTACAGCTGATGCAGATATGTTTGTATGTTTTCTTGTTGAGACTAGCTGCAAGAGGATGCTGCAAAGGGAAAGACAGGGCGTTGAGTTTGCCAGGATCCAGGAATCCTGATGTGCTGTAAGTTACTTCACCGCAGACTGACGTGGAATGCCCAAAGCCATTTTTTGGAGGAAATTTCCTTGGGTGACCATCTTTTCTGGGTTCCACGTCAGTTTGTGCTGGAAGTTGTTGAACGAGCTTGCAGAGAGAAGAGCGAAAATAACCGCCTTCGCGTGCTGGCTGCAGCAGGTCCGCATTTGCTACCAGCTCAGAGCATTAGCACATGCAATCAGTTGGGCTCCGCAGGTACTTGGACAGGAGAGCCCCTGACGCAGACATTTGATGTTTTGGTCGGTCGTGTCAGGCATATCTATTTACAAATTCAGCTCAGACAGCTTGCTGGCCGGCAGCGAGCCAGCAGATTAGCACTAAAGTAGAGCGCTTCCCAAAAAAATCTTTCGAGGTTTATTTGGTTGTTTTTGCAATGCTCGGCCCCTTCTCTGCTGGCGTGATTTGTGCGGGGCAGTGATTGAAGCCATGGATTCGGGCGCCGCTGTGACGGGGCTCTTCGGATGACAAAGTTTGCGCTGACTTTCTCGTTGACCAAGCAGAGATCGTGTAGCAGCATGTTCTGATGACACCAGTACCCTGTGCACAACCAGGACTTCACAATAGCATGTTTGGTACCATACCAACTAAAGATACGTAGTATGAGTCGTACATTTCATCTGCATCAGAGCTGACGTGTTTCGACGAAATGCGAGATGCTGACGGCCATGGCCAGCATGATTTGCACCATATTCAACTCGACCCTGCACCACCTCCCAAGAAGAATAATGGAATCTGCAAGATGGGTTGCTTTCAGGTTCCATGTTTGCTTTTGGAAGGGTACCTTAACCTAACTTCACGGCCGAACCCTTCAAGATTACGCATACGGCCACTTCGCGCAGGCTCACAGACGGGACACAACGGCCGAGCGAAGCTACACGGCCGCCATCCGCCAGCGGCCAGGCAGGAAACGAAAGGCCACTGGAGGCCTTTTCCGAGCCTTCGAAGTCTTTCCCCGATGGGGTCCGAGCTGTCTCTTGGATGTTGAAAGCGGGGTTACTCTTCGGCGGTCTTCCGGCAACTCCTAAAAGAGAAGAGATATGCTAGATTGCTGCAGGCGGTGGCACATTTTTTTAACAAGCGGTTGTGAAATATGTGGGTCAGTTGGGAAGATACATGTCTCTGTCACAGCTCACATGTTGGACTGCAACCAGCCCAGCCTTAGATTGCAAAGGGCCGTGCAAGATGGGATCTTTGTTTTGCAGCAAGTGCCGCATGCCTTGGGGCGTGCTTGTTTTGGCCTTTGCAGGATGACTATTCTGGAATTTCATAGACACCCCACTTTGGGGGACCCCCCAGAACCACCCCCAAACACAGACGCTTGGTGGAAGACGGTGTTTGGGGGTTCACAAAGGTATGGCAGAAGCAAGCAGTGGCAGCTGGCGCTTCTTCTGCTTGAAGAGCTGGATGATCTGGCCTTGCAGAGGATGCGTGGCTTCCCACTGAAAGCCCAACATTTTGAGCATCCAACATCGGAATACGAGTTTTGGGGCCACGATCTTGAACGAGTTGGAGTTTCTCGTACCTTGGCAGGGTATTTAAGCGAATGCTCTAGCATGTTGCTTAATTGGTGAAGTCTTACACCTACACAGATATCATGCAACACGCAGCTGTGAGCTCACAAAAGGCCAATTGGTTGCAGCCGAGGAACGAATTCGTCTCTAGCGCCGCTATCAGTGCCTGCGAGAAAGGCAAGGGAATCCACGTGGCAGGGTACTTGTTAAATGGTTAGCAACCATTGTTATGACTTGTTGCAACCCACTTGCAAGAGGCTCGCAAGGGAAGCCATTGGATTTCCGTCCAAGTGTTTGGTTACAGCGCTTGATCTTTAATTGCCATGGCTTCGTCAGGTGAATGGAAAGTTGAGTTCGCTCTTGGTTATCTGTGACACCAACCCAAGCCTAGTCTCTCTTAAACCAAACCTAACACCGGCGCCCCCTCAAAAATATACCTGTGTATGCCTTTGCAGGTAGCTGCTGGAGGATTGCAGTGGCGCTGCTCGCAGCATCAACTCAGGATGTGCAGCTTAGATCAAAGGCTTAGGCTTTGCACCTGTGCATTCAACCAGTTTTTTGTTCCTTTGCATAGTGTACCCATACACAGCACTTGGAGGAGCGTGCACCGTCAAAACGTTTGTGCCCAAATACGAAAGCCACCCCAAAATGGCCGGTTTCCCTTTAGTTACAGAACCGCAAACTAGGGGCACCCTCCCGCAAGAACGGGACACCCAGATCTTATCCACTCAGAAGGCAACCCCAGGCCCAACACCTGCAGCTAGCCTCCTGGCCGTCGCACATTGCCTGTGGCAAGCAGTTCCACCGATTCGAAGGTAACATGAGCTCACCGCGATGTGGGTACACGGGCCATACGTCGTGTCCCATCCCTCTTCAATTTCATGGACTGCGCTGAGGATCAGTTTCAATGCCTGCATCAGCGCCTGTGAGAAAGCAAGCCAGTGGCAGCACGCGCTGCACTTGCTGGGAGAGCTGAGCCAACGTGCCTTTGATTGAACTCGCTGATGCTGGCCGGTATTCCGACCATTTGCGCCAGTCTTTTTGTCTAGGCTTTGCTGGATGCTTGCTTGGATTGGGGGAGCGGCAAGTCATATTTGACTCGCTTCATCGTTTGTTTTAGATCGCGCCTCGTTTGTTTTAGATCGCCCCCACTCCGTCTTCAAGCAATCTGACTGGCACTGTAGCGGACATTGAGCACTATTTGTAGGCTGGATTCAGTGGGACCGAGGCAGATCCTTTCGGGGTTGTGGTGGGGTGCTCATTAGGCCTGCGCCCCAGCGTCGTCTCATGCAATGCCGCGATCAGTGCTTGCGTGGGCCACTGGGAGAAGGCCACCGCATGGGGCGTTGGACACAGCAAGCAATGCGTGCCGGCCCTGGCGCAGGAATAGGAGCGTTTCCCCGAGAGTGAAGGATTCCCCTCTCAATTGGGCCGCCAGTTAATCTACCAGGGGTTTACTAATCCTGGATCAACAGTACATGATACTCAGTCAGGTACAGGTGGGGCAAAGCCAAGGGGAGTTTTCACTTGTTTGAAGAGCAAAGGATCATGGATTGGTCGGTTCTCGTAAGACTAAGACTCTTACAAACCCTCTTGCCCTCACATAGCAAAATCTGGAGTCAAGCGTGATTCACTTTTGCATACGAGTGGCCGTCGTACCTGCCGCATTGACAGAGTTATGCCGAGGCAGCTTGTTGGTGTACCAGCCTTCGAGCGCTCTCCACCTTTAGTAAGAGATAAACAGCGAGATCAAGCGTGGAAAGCAGATGATCAGGAGTGTTTTGCAAAAGCCTTCAAACACCCGGCCGAAGTTCCGTTGCAGTTGGGAATCGCTTTTGAAAACGAGTGCAGGTTCCCATGCGCGCCAAACAAATGTGATCATGAACTTGTTCGCTCCCCTGTACTTGTCGAGGCCGTATTTCTCCTTGCCCGACTTCCATGTCTCAGCCTAAGGCCTACTGTCAGAAGCTCAGACGTTTGAAGAGGCATGGGTAGAATCATGGTGTAACGGGTGGACACGATGCTTTGAGTCTATGTTGCGACCATATTTGATGTAATGGACTTGGTTTTCGTGATGCAGAATGGACTGCAACGATCCTTGGTTCAGTTGTATAGGCGGTCATTTGCCAGTGGTAGACCGTTGTTTATGCTGTAGTCGTATATTGACATGTTATTCTTGGTGTGTAGCTCTGTTGTATCAATTGATTCACTAGTATTGACGGGATCCTGCAAATGGGTCTTTGCGTTTCGCCTTGTGCACTGCCTTCAAGACACTGCTTTCTTCGATCTTACTGCTGAACCTGGGAGAGAGGCGATTGATGCTCGGGTGTGATCTGTTTGCGCTTCATACGTCACATTCACAGTTTCGAAGAGCGCATAATTTCTTGGGCTAAGGGGGCAAGAGCAACCTAATTGCTGAGGGATGACCCACCCATGCCAATGGATGGTGTCTGCGCTGGAGGTCGTCAGCTTCAACGCCGCGGGCGCGGGAGGCGTCGCGTGGTTTCGGGCCCTGGCGCTGCTGCGCAGCTCCGCTGCCGCGGGGCTGAGGGCCACGACCATCAGCGCCAACGGGGCGCTCAGCGCCTGCGACAGGCCGCGCGGCGGAAAGGTCGAGGAAGGAAGCGCCAGAGGAAGTCCTCAGATTCTTTGTGTGGGTCACTTAGTTAATTGCTAGTTTGGGGAGGGGGGCTAGTCCGGCCAAGTTTCCCACAGCCAAGGGGCCGGGGCCCCAACTTGGGGAAACAAAGAACATTTTGTTTGGGGTTCATATGAGCGTAAAGGGTATGCGGTGTATTCGATAAACACACATACCATGGCAGCCCGCAGCCCATGAGGCAGTGGTCACGGGCGCTGGCTTTGCTGTCGCAGTTCCGGGCCGATCTGTTGGAGCCAGATGTGCACCTTGGTGGGAATCACCAGCTTCACAGTGCTTAACTTGTGTTGTTTTGTGTCGTTGCCTTTCGGTTTTAGTTGGGCGGCAAGGAAGATATGTTTGGCTAACATACCAGGGGTTGGGAAGCCAGAGCTAGGGAAGGCCCAACTCCAATAGCACAGCTTACAAGTTGTGAGGGAGAAACGCCTGGCGTTGTTTGTGGCCTCATGACATTGCGAATGTTTCTATCAACTCACTCACTGAGAGAGGCCTATGCGTGTTTAGCAGGACTGGCGTGGTTGGCCACGTCATGGTGTCTTGACGGGCCATTGAGCTAAGGTGAGAGACAGAGCTGCAATTCTGTTCCTGGATCGTCTTCCTAGATCGCTTTGGTTTGGAATGTCAAAGAGTCATCTGGAAGCTGTCAAGTTCAAGAACTGACAGAGTGTGCAATGTGCAACGTACTGCTCTGACGCCCTTCGTCACTTACGCAACGCAAAGTGAGGGTGTGATGGGCAGATTTCTTCTGCAAGGCAACTCAGCAGTTAGTTCAAAGAGCTCTGTAAAGTGAGGCACCTCATGACAAACAGATGGCCTAGTCGCTCTTTGCTTGCAGCACAGAGGGTCCTGAACCTTGAATCAACGCCCCTACAATCAATTCTGAGCGGGCTTTCCAAAAATTATCCCACCACGGCATTTCATGTATCCTCTATTTATGACAGAAGGCTTTTGGAAGACTACAGTCCTCTCGAAGAGCCTTGTCCACTTTCACGATTGCTGGAAGTTTGCAAATAGCAACGCATTGCCAATTAAGGAAGCCAACATGTGATAGAACTAGTTTTGTCGGAAAGAGGTGGCCGAATGAGAGAATTGCTCCGGCGCGGGGTTTGTCTTGCGGCCAAGGATCACCTTCAACGCTTGCGTCAGCGCCTGCGGAGGCGGCTGGGACATGGCCCTTCACCTGCTCAGGGGCATGGGGCGCCAAGGCCGGAAGCTGTGGCCCGGAGCAACCAACAAGTTGGGTCTTTGCAGAGGTAGGAACAAAATGGAAGCGGCAACTTCTTTGGAGTCTAAGTGGATGGAGCCCCTCGTGGCTTGGAAGGCATCAAATAGTGAAGTGCCCGAACATCACTTAGTTGTGGGCAACCCCTGCAACTAGGGTGGAGCGCAAATTGGTTTAAACAAGAAGGCCATGGACCCCTTCGAAGGAGAAGTGACAGCATGTTGAACCACCATTTCCTTGAATTAAGCATGTTTAAACAGGTTGTTCGTCCAACCCTCCAAGCAGCTGCAACCATCCCTGTGGCCTTTGCGGGCTACCCCTGCCTCAGTCTGTCGCGGCAACGTGGTGACCTACAACGCTGCCATGAGCGCTGCAGAGAAAGCGCAGGAGAGAGGGCGGAAGGGGCCGAACCGGCAGTTACCACGCCGGATTGCCAATTTTCAAGTGCCTGTGGAGCAATGGCATTTGCTCAGTCCCATGCATGATAGAGAGAGAGAGAGAGAGAGAGACAGAGAGAGAGAAAGCAGAGTTGCACTCTGCCATAGATTCGTCAATTGCAACTTTTTGCAGTCTACCCGACGTACAGACTGCGAATGCATGGGTAGGGGGATTCGGCCGATGATAGGTTGTTTGAAGGGAACAAGCACACACATGACTATTTCCCATTCCGGCATGGTCATGGTGAAACAGTAGAGCGATGTGTTGTTCGGAGAATGCATCGTCCACAAGTGGAGATTTGTGACACATCAGCCCGTGCCCTTAGGGGAAGTGGTACATGTGGGAATGGACACGTATGCTTGATTGAATGACTTTATCTCTTTTCTTGGGGGTGAGTGGGAGGGTGGGTGGGTGGGTGGGTGGGTTCCCTTTAGACCAAAAGAGCCGCCCTGTTTTCCCCTGTGGCCTGAAATTTGCCAGGAGTGGGCCATGGCCCTCGCCTTGCTGCAGGACAGCCCGAGACGTGGATATTTCCACCCCCGCCTCCTTTTGTTGAATTTGGGTCAGGTTCTTTATCGTTTGTTTTTTGGAGGGGTTGTTTCAAAAAGAAGTCCACTGAAAGCCATAAATTTTGGGCTTCCAGCAGTTAACCGCAATGGAACGAGAAGTCGTTCTGTTCATTTGGAGGGATTCCTGTGGCTGGGCATTGCTCTGGATGTTGGTACTCGCAAGGAGTCCCGCGAGCAGAGTGTGGCAGATGTGATCAGCTACAATGCCGCGATCTCCGCCTGCGACGCTCGGCTAACGGCAACGCTGCCATGGGTGGGAGGGTACCTGGAAGCCGGCGACGTCTGCCTTCTAAAGGTCCCTGACCGCACGAGAATGCAAAGCTCGCAGGTTCGGGCTATTTTGATGCTTATGGTGGAACAAGTTGTGGGTACCTGGCTTACAGGGGGGATTTTGCTAGGGGTTGCAGCACCTGGGAGGTTCACCGGAGTTTACGCGCGTTTCGCTGGGGGTTTGCCAGAAGACGAGTTTGACAGTGGGTTTACCCTTCACCCACAAGCCAGGACGCGCACAGGCCCCTCTGCTGACAGGAAAGTTGTCTTCCAAAAGGAGCCGTGCACTTAAGATTAGTGAGAGGATAACCAGGAGTTTACTGCGGGTTTTACCTTTTTGGTGTTTCCCCCCTCCCTGGTTTACAGGGAGTACAGGGGTATCGTTTCTTTCTCAGGTGTGTTTTGCTGTTTTCGCGAGCGTGCCACACCGGGCAGTTGCCGTCGGCGAAGTGCCAGGAGTGGCCGGGGCTGTGGCAGCTGGCACTGACGCTCTTGGAGTTGAGCCCACGAGGCGAAACGGGGTGCATTGCGGTGCAGCGCAGAAACCCGGGATTTTTGTTTGCTTCAGGAGTTTGAGTCCTAGGCCAGGCGTCCAGCTTTGGGATACCCCTGCTCAGCTTGCAATCACTCTCAGCTAGTAGAGAAATGGCTTTTGCAGGACAATGGCCCAAACCTAGACCCCTAGTTTGTTGGTGCACTGCGTGTGTCGAAACACGGGCTTCGGCTGAATCTCAAAATGCTGTCTGAATTTACCAAACAGACTGAGGCAGTCTACCCACATCATTTTGTCAGCGACGAGGTTTGTTGGCATGTGTAAATGGGGAACCCCACTCATTCTGTCGCCAGCAATGTCCAAGACACTAGCAATGCCATGTTACCAACCGCAGCTTTGTGCAACATGCATATAGACACATGGCATTGAGCAAGCTGGCAGCCTTCGATTCGAGTCCAACTTTGCACTGCGAATCGTGTCGTTCCCCTAGGAAGCATCATCACCTACAGCGCTTGCATGAGCGTGTGCGAGAAGGCTGGCAAATGGCAGCAGCTCAGCGGCATTCAGTATGGTTTGAAATCAATCCTTGATGCTGATGCCAGATGCTAGTGGTTTCCTTTGTTGCGCTGCAGAGAACGGATTAGGATTCATCCCCCATCGTCCGGACGCCGTGTCAGAGTGCGTCCTGCATTTCCGAGGCAAGCCTTGCTGCTTTTGGATGAGATCCATGACTTGCGGCTCCAAAGCAACGCCATCGCCTACAATGCCGCCATTGCTGCGCCACCCTGCACGCGCTTGAAGAAGCGCTTCACCACTTCACAACAAAATGGATGGATGGGTTCGGTCTATCTCTCAGCGCTTCACCAGCCTTGGCCATTCCTTTTGGGACTCGGAACAACCTGCCTGATAGCTCTGAGAGCTACGTTTGAATGGCCAATGTTTTAGGTTTTACTTGTGTGAAGCGCATGTAGCGTAAACAGTTTTGCGCAAACAAACAAAGGGGTCTACGGAGGTTGCTCACATGGACATCTGTTTTATTTTGTAAAGTCCCCCACCGGTTTTGTTGGGCCCAAAAACCAACATGTAAGAAGGAGATCAACAAAAACAGGTTTGGGCTTACAAGGCAGAATCCCCTCACAAACAGGCAAGGTGGCAAAGTAGGTTTGGAGGTAGGCCTAAGGGACCACACCTCCGGAGCGCCAGGTGTCACGGCCTTCGCCTTTGGCGCCACGTGCTGCGGCTCTTCGACAAGTGCCGCGGGCGGGGCACCGTGGTGACACTGCACTGCGCCACTTGGCGTCGAAGGGATGTAACCTTTGGATGGCATTTTCTCATCTACCTATGAGTACGTTTTCATTTCACCTTTGCGGCATTTTGGGGAAGCCGGATGATTTGTTTTCCGGCAGTTTAGGAAACTCCCACGTGAGGTTTGGTCAACATTTCCTGATTGTTCTATCGTCCATTTTGCATACCAATCCCTGTACGAGCTTTGATGAACCTGAGATTGGCCCCTGTCCCATGGCTAAGCGCGCTGTACGGTCTTGACGTCAAGACGTGGCGCTTCGACTTTGCTTTCACTTTGTGTTGCGCCACACTTTTGGTTACGAGATCTGCCAGCCAGCAGCTGTCTCTCAAGCGTATTAAGTCTTTGCAAACCGCTTGCCTTGAACACATTTTGGGTATCTCTACATGCACAATGCTGTAACGATAAGCACGGTCCTTTTTGTCGGATTTCTCAGCTGAACAACATCCCCTGTCAACACAGCACTTCACGAGTGGTTGTGTCTCAAAAACGTTGGACCCACTGCACGAGCTTTTGACTTCCTTAAAAACCACTTGAACAGGGGGGAATCTATTTGGAGACAGTGGCAAGTGAGCCACTGTTGGCATTTGCTGTTTCCCAACTTAACATCGCGAGGTCGCGATTTCCAGGATTTTGAAACGGATTTTGTTGAACACTTGGAGTTGAGATGAGGCCCTGGATGCCATCGAGATGTCCCAGCTGGCCTGGGAGGCTCCTGAGCAGCTTGCGGCGCTGCAGCGGCAAGGACTGCGGCGCCTGGGAAAAGAACGCGCGTGGCGATCGAATGGTTCCCCGGAAAAGCTCCAAGGCCAGTCTTTGGGGCTGACTTCACCGAGCACCCCTTGTTTTTTGAGCCGCCTGAAAAAGGCCGGGAGCTTCGGAGCAAAATATGAGAGGCAGTTGAGGACGCGGAAGGCGAAACAAAAACTGGGTTGTTCCGATTGTGAGGTCGAAAGGACGGATGTTTGAAAGGGTCTTGTGTTGGAGTAGAAGTCGGCCAAATGATCACGCGGATGTTGCTGCAATTTTGTTTGAACGATAAATTTCGGCAGTATGCGTACGATGTACGGCAATCAACTGGTCCATTTGCCTGGTTGCGAGAATCCAATAGTCATTGTCACTGACTGGCCTCAGCACGGTCCTGCACGGTCCAGTTGCATGCTTGGAATTATTAAGCTCACCACACCTCTGTTGCAACCCGCCCTTCAACTTGCACGCAAACGCTCACAGGCAGTCGGAGAAGGGCCTATGTGCTGGCCTGTAGTTGTTCAAATTCGTGCTGCTGTTTGGCTGGCAAAATGTGGGCATGCGGGGTGATAAGGACCATCCAGCTGAAGCACGGTAGCTTGTGAGCCCCTTCCGTCACATTCAGGTATGTGTTAACATTGGGGGACCTTAA